GGATTGTATGGAAAGTCAATTTCTAGTTCTTTTAGAAATGCCACACTATTTTCCATAGAGGTTGGACTAGTTTGCACTCCCACCAATAGTGTAGAAGTGTCCCCTTTTCTCTTCACTTTTGCCAGCATCCATTGTTTTTTTTTTTTTAATTGATGAATGATGGCCGTCCTTACTGGGGTAAGATGGGATCTCAGTGTAGTTTTGTTTTGCATCTCTTTGATGATTAGTGAGGCTGAGCATTTTTTCATGTAACTGCTGGCTGCTCATAAGTCTTCTTTTAAGAAGTGTTTATTTATGTTGTCTGAGGATGGTCATTATTAAAAAGTCAAAAAGCAACAGGTGTTGGTGAGGGCAGAGAAAAGGAAATACTTCTGTAAGGTTGGTAGGAATATAAGATAGTTCAAACTTTATGGAAAGCAGAATGGAGTTTAATCAAAGAACTAAAAATGGATCTACTATTCAACCCAGCAATCCTGCTTCTGGGAATATACACTAAGGATCATAACTCACTCTACCAAAAGACACCTGCACTCATATGTTTATTGCAGCACTATTCACGATAGCAGAAACATGAAACCAACCCAGATGCCCACTGAATATGGACTGGATAAAGAAAATGTGGCACGTATACACTGTGGAATAAAGAAGAACAAAATTATGCCCTTTGCCGCAACATGGATGCAGCTGCAGACCTACATTCTAAGTGAAATATCACACACACAAACAAAAAAGCTGAATAATGCATGTTCTCACTCATAAGTGGGCACAAAACATTGGGCACACACGAGCACAAGGATAAGAACAACAGACTCTGTGTACTGCTAAAGGAAAAGAGAAAAGAAATGCAAGGCCACCCATAGGGCACCATACTTACTACTTGAAGGAGGGAAGGCACAGTCGGTTGAACACCACTAACACTAAAGAGGCAAAATTAAATGACATATACATTATCAAAGAAGTAAAGATTTCCTGATGAAACATAAAAACAAACAGTATAAGACATTGTTAACCACTAAGAAAGGAATCAAATAGGGCCGTGTGACAAAGAGATATGTTATCACCATAATCATTTATATTATAAATCATTCTGATGCTTTAATAGTGATATTCTTAAGGAATAACCTACAGTATTTTTTTTTAATATAGCAAGTACCTACAGTGTCTAAATAACCGTTTTAGGCCAATGTGGAAATGAACAAAAGAAACATTTCTTTGCAAACAAGATGCCATTTACGTTGTGGGTGGAGATAGACAGTCAAGAAGTCAAAATATAAAATTGAAAGTGGGATCCACTGTAGTAAAAATCTTAGAAAAAATAGCAGGACAGGGAAATAAGAGAAGTATTTTTGACAGACAAATTTAAATATGGTGGTGAGATAATATATAGTATGGAAGATCATATTTAGTCAGACATCTAAATGAAGCTAGAACCTATGGCAGGTGGCTATTTGAGGAAATAGCTTTTTAGGAAGACATAACTAAATCCCACATATCTCAAATTAAATTTATTATTTCCCTACACCACGCTTGCATGTCTTTATTTTTTTGACTCAGAGTCTTACTCTGTCACCCAGGCTGGAGTGCAGTGGCACACTCACGGCCACCACAACCTTGACTTGCTGGGTTCAGATGATCCTTCTGCCTCCCTTTCAAGTAGCTGGAACTACAGACAGGCACAACCATGCCTTGCTAATTTTTAGATTTATTGTAGAAACGAAGTCTCACCAATTGCCCAGGTTTGTCTTGAACCCCTGGGTTCAGGCAATCCTCTTGCCTCTACCTCCCAAAGTGCTGGGATTACAGGCATGAGCCACTGTGCTTGTCTATGCTTGCATTTCAGTTTCCATTATGAAGGCTCGAATATGAGGCGAATCAGTGAGAGTAGAGAAATATAAAGCCAGACTTAGACATTGAAAAGTATTTATTTATGAAAAGTGTAGTCTCATCATAAGTACAGTGTGTTACGAATGGTAGGTGGATGAAACTCCATATAAAATGTATTTGGAATAGTGAAATGAAATAGACCAGTGTACACGGAGACAAGGAAACATGTTCTACTGCCTTAGCCCAGGGCCTGGGCAACACTTCCACCTTCCACTGCTTGTTTTTAGAGTTAAGAGGAGGAGAGAATGTTCTGAACAGTGACCATCCAAGAGTCAGAGTCCTTCTGCATCTACTGATCTCTCACTTCCCTTCTCCCAGAATTCCCCTGGCCAACCCCTCCTCCATTTGACTGGCTCTGTGCACTGATGTTGGAGTTAGGAAACTTTGGGGGCTTGTGGTTGCTCAATGTTTACACCTCACTTTACCCATACCCAACCCGGTGAACCCAGGCACTGCCCAGCCTGGTCTCCTGTTCCTGGTGAGTTCTTGCCCTCTGTCCTATCCATCTCCTGTCCTATCCCTGGTGATCTAACTCAAGGAAAATCCTGGCTATCTGAGGCAAAGGAATTTTGGCTTGCAGTGGCTGAGCTTCTCTCAGATATAAAGGGAAACCCTGAAGTTTAGGGTTTCATTCTTCCTTTCTTTCTGTCTTCCTGGCAGTTCCTGCTATTCTTTGGAACCTTGCTGTGTCTCTCATTCAGCTAAGACTGTAGCTGGGCTCAACCGTCTCTATGTAGCCAAGGCCATTCTTCAAGGCCATTCTTGTCTGCACAAGGTCTGAGCTGCTTCTCCAGAATCTCCATGGTTTTCCATGACTACTTGAAGCATATCTGGAGCCAATGGTAATTAGAGGATTTTCTTTTTTTTTTTTTTTTTTTTTGAGTTGGAGTCTCACTCTGTTGCCCAGACTGGAGTGCAGTGGCCGCTCCCGGCCACCGCAGCCTCGACCTGCTGGGCTCCGGCGATCCTTCCACCTCAGCCTTCCAAGTAGCCGGAATTACAGGCATGCGCTACCACGCCCGGCTGATTTTTTGATTTATTGTAGAGATGAGGTCTCGCTGCCCAGGCGGGTCTCGAACCCACGGGCTCAGGCAATCCACTCACCTCAGCCTCCCAAAGGCGCGGGATTACAGGCTGAGCCACCGAGCCCGGCTAGAGGATTTTCTTAAGGGTCTAACATGGCATTTTAGTCCAGCACACAGGCAATGGAATAAATGAATCTAAACATAATCCTGTCATCATTACCTTCTCAAATAGAAATAATCTTCAGTTTATCTGAGTACAACATCTCACACTACCCAGTCCAGATGGTTCCTCAACTGGGTATTCCTGGCATTTTTCTTCTGTACCCCTTGAGCTGGGTTGGGAAGAATCAGGAGATACAGGAGAGAATCCTGTGCTCTGCTGTTGGCCCTTGGAAGACTTGATCTGGAGCTTGAAGAGCAGGAGAAATCTTCATTCTGGATGGAAGGCTGACAGTGTATTTTGATTAAATTCCTACATTCAAATACAAAAATAAGTCAATAAATAATAAAAAGCACTACTTGCATGAAAAATGTAATTAAATAAACCTCAGGCAAAATATTTAAAAGTTCTCAAAATTGTTTTCTAAAATCATTAAATGCTACAATCCTATAGCTTTTTACAAGCTAAAGCTAAAAGTCCTTGATACACCAAAATTTTGATGTAAGTTCATCACTTGGGGGTTCACCTGTTATAAAATCAGTGACTATTGATGAGATGGTGTTTGTATAGGTTTGTTTATAGAGATTAACCAGGGTGTTAACTCAATTCCTTGGAATAAACCTAATCATGTATATTAACACCCACCTAAGAACCCGTGAAATGCAATCACTTGGCAGAATGGGTGTGGTCTTCAGAGAGTCATATAAGGACACTCCAGGAGCTGAGCTTATTCTTCTCCAAAACCCATAGAGTGGCTTTGGAACTGGCTGTGGAGACTTCTGAAAGCTACCTCCACCACACTGTGAGGCTGTGATCCCTGAGCTGACCTCATCTTATTACTTGTCCAGTAAGCATCGGTGAGGACGTAGACCTATTTCTTAGGTGAGTACACATTTTGTAGAAAATATACCCCCACTGCAAACTGGAGTTTGTTTGGTTTTTTAATGAAGTGATCTCATTTTCCTGAGTTGTAAACTGACTCCACTTCTTTTGGAATTAATTTGATGCTTAATCTATTAATTGATGTGTTTTTCTGTTTTTTGGTATAATGTAGAAGTTGTTTTCAGATGTGTTGTAACTTTTTACTTACAAGTAGATTTATTGAATTATAGATTGTATTAATGTGTTAGGAGTATTTTATTCCATTTGTATAAGTATATTCTACTCTGAAAGTAGAAAAGTGTATACATTGGATAAAATATCTGGCTATACATAAGAAGATAATGCATTGAAGGATTTGGGCAAAAATTTGTTTTTGAGTGTTTGTAAATGCCTCTTCATAAATGATGCTGGGGTGGCTGTGAGCATGCTACTGCACTCCAGCCTGGGTGACGAAATGAGACTCTGACTCAAAAAACAAACAAAGAAACAAACAACAACAAAACCATTGTTTGATCTGCCCATTTTATCTTGGAGAGCAAGACTAGCTCTTTTAATTGTGGTCAAAAGTCTGAACCCTGCTTCAACACTTACAAGCAGAGTGCTTTTGGAGAAGTCACGATAGGATTGTTGTTGGAATTACATGAAATAATGAAGGTAGAAGAGCTCAGTTGCTGCCCTTCCCTAAACCAATCACTCACAAGTAACCATGTAATTTATTTTCAGATTGGTCTACAGACTGGTAAAATTATTGAAGCCCAAGCATTTGGGGGGAAACTAACACCTAAAGAAATCTGACATCCTCTAGTATAGGAAAAAAAAAAATGTTTGGGGAAAGAGAACCTGTATTGATTAGACTAGCAACACATTTTTCTACAGGACTTGATCTCTCTTTGTGCCTCAGTTTTCCATTTCTGTCATTTGCAAGTTTAGTCCAACCCACTCTAGATTAATGAATATTATTGAATCACAACCTGATTCAAATTTGCTTAGAACTTTGTCTCTCTGGGGCAGAAGATTAAATTATTCTGAATTTCTTTCCTCAGAAAAAAATGGACCCAGACATCCTACACTCCTTCCAGAAAGAGCTCACCTGTCTTATCTGCCTGAACTACCTGGTAGACCCAGTCACTATCGGCTGTGGGCACAGCTTCTGTAGGCCCTGTCTCTACCTTTCCTGGGACAAAGCTCAAACTCCTGCCCACTGTCCTGCCTGCAGGGAGCCATCACAGCAGAAGGACTTCAAAACCAATATTATTCTCAAGAGTTTGGTGTCTATCGCCAGAAAAGCCAGCCTCTGGCAATTCCTGAGCTCTGAGGAACAAATGTGTGGGACCCACAAGGAGACCAAGAAGATGTTCTGTGAAGTGGACAAGAGCCTGCTCTGTTCACTCTGCTCTAAGTCTCAGGAGCACAGGACTCACAGACACTGTCCCATTGAAGGGGCAGCTGAGGAACAGCGGGTAAGTGATACCTCTTAGAGCAGATTGAAAACTGGAGGGTAGTAGAGTTAAAGAGATTACGAGGTAGATGAGAATGGTAATGATCAACCCATTCTCTACCGAATGTCATGTACTAGGAATCAATAATAGAATTGTTAATACAGTGAGGCACAGTGGCTCATGCCTATAATCTCAGCACTTTGGGAGGCTGAGGCTGCAGTATTATTTGAGTCCAGGAGTTTGAGACAAGCCTGGGTGACACAGTAAAATTTCATCCCTACAAAAAACTGAAAAAAATAACTGGAATGATTGTGGATTCCTATAGTCTCAGATATGCAGAAAGCTATGAGGGAAGTGCCACTTGAGTCCAGGAGGTCAGGGCTGCAATGAGCCAGAATCATCATTGCACTCCAGCCTGGGAGTCAGAGTGAGACCCTGTATTAAAAAATTATGAATACAATACACAGAAATCCCTGCCTATGAAACTTACAGTCAAAGGGAATTTGATTAAGGTAAGAGTCAGTATTATTTAGACTATATGATATAATGCTCAAGGCACTGTAAGGCTACCAAAATTGCAAGTGTATGGAGACTTATTTCGGAAAAACATGAAATAATACTGCACAAGTAAGAAGGAGAATAGTACCCTACAACAGCAGGGGACTAGCATGTGTAGACTCAAGTTCTGAAGCAGTATGTTTACCTGAAAATTAGCCAGGTTACACGAAATTCTTCACTTGTCAGTTTTCTAAATTCTTCTACATCCTGAAATCTCTCAGCATTGATCATTGTTGATTGAATATAAGAAGTAAAACATTCTGACTGTCCTACTCTCCAAAATGTGCCTCTGTACATTAGTCATGGTCTGAAATCTATGTCGTTTCCTTTTCTGGTGCTAAGATTCAATGTTGTTTTGTAGGAAAAGCTCTTAAAGCAAATGAGGTCTTTATGGAAAAAGATCCAAGAAAATCAGAAAAACCTGAATGAGGAGAGCAGGATAATCCTCCTGTGGATGGTAAGTATGAGAACTTGCTACCTCAGAACCAGCTTGAGACAGACAAGCTAGAAACATTTTCCTTTAGAACTTGAACTGAACTTCCCCTATGGCATGATATTATATGATACGTTAATTCATAGACAAAAAGCCATCTTACTTTTAATATAGTGGTGGCTCACGTGTTCGGGAAATATTCCTCAGGCTCAAAATCAATTTGAATTCTGAGGAACATGTAGGAGTGTAAAATCCATGGATATTTCAGGAAGATATTCTGCATCTTTAAGGATCTTTATAGATGAATCCTATAAATTAGAGGGTATAGAATTAGGAACTGAAAGCACTTCATAATGTTGAATACAATGATGTCCAGGGCAAAGAAAGTGGAGTGTGAACAGTGATTTAAAAAGTGTGTCTGTGAAGTCTGTGGAACTAGACAATGATTGGCTCATGTGGGTGAAATTTAATATGAGGAAAAGAAGCAAAGAAAAAAGACTGAGGGGAGTGAGAGAATGAATAGATAAATACTGGGTAGAGATGAACAATGGATGAGGATTAATGTTCTTAGAATGGTGGGACAGTAGAGAACCTGTGATTAGATAGCAGGAAAATAGAAATCAGAGGGATAGAAGTCATTCTGAGGACTTGGAGTTAAACGTTTTTCTAAGATCCTTTTTTTGTGTTGGTTACCAATCCTGAATATAATATGTGGATATTTCTACTAAATATTTAGACTGGTAACGAAGGAGATTTGAGATGAGATACTAAATTTAGTAACAAATATCATAAATGTTACATGTAATGATTTACAGTAATAGATTTGAATTGTTTTCAAGTGATATTTCAGATTTGAGAGGATATGTATTTAAAATTAAATCTGAAAGGCTTTTCTTCAGATGTTCATGAATACATGGATAAGATGAGTGTCAAGGGTAGGGCTTGTATAGTTCTTACTGTTCATAAAGAATGGGAAATAAATGAAGGAAAGCAGAATTAATTTGTGGATTTGGAGATGTGGAAGGACATGCAGTAGGGTGTATGTAGGGGATGGTTAGAGGATGTGAGTCAGAGAAGTGGATGAAGTTTTCACATAAGAGTAGGGAGTCGGCCTGGACATTGACCTAGAAACCCATGTTCCTGCAGTGCTACGTGTTCCTAAGGGCAGAGATGATCAAGGATGAGTACAGGAAGCTGCATCCAGTTCTCCATGAGGAAGAAAAACAACATTTAGAGAGAATAAAAAAGGAACGCCATGAGATTTTTCAACAACTCAAAAGAAATAAAGTCAAAATGAAGCAAAAGAGGAAACATCTTAAAGAAATGTATGAAGAACTCATGGAAATGAGCCACAAACCAGATGTGGAGCTGCTCCAGGTAGGGATATAGGACCAGCCCTAATGATTTGTACCACTCACATTCACATGTTGGTCCACCATTATTTACTTGGTACCAAATACACACTTCATTATCTCCTGCATCAACAGTGGAAAATGTTTCCACCTGGGAAGAGTAGGGATCGATGGTAACTTCTAATTTATTTGTAAATGCAAAGTTTTATGGAATTTTGATGTGGGTTTGCAGGGACTATTTCTTTCTAAATTTCCCTTCACCCATTTCATTTCTCTAAAAACATAATAGTGACTTATTCATGAAAATTCAGTTTCTGTCTCCATTGAGCAATAAATAGAAATTTGGGAAATACTGATATTTACTTTCTCATCACGTTTGGAATCCTGGCTTTGAAATGCCCTCAATTTGAGGCATAGTGGCTGCCTTTGGGAGAAGCTATGGATAAGATCACCTTGAAGATAGCTGGTGATTTGCAGCAATGCACAGTCACTGCCCTCATCTTTCTCTTGATTCACTCTCATAGCTGTGAATTTATTAAAAATTTAGATTATGTTCATGTTTTCATTCTTAGGGATAAAAGTACATATACAAGGTAATGGTATTTGGTACTTTTCCAAACACTCCCAAACCAGAGACTGAATAGGAGAATAGAAAAATTCTAAATAAGTCTAAACTTTGCCTTTCTTTGTTTTTTCAACCTTTACAGGATGTGGGAGACATACTTACAAGGTACGTTTGTCCTGCAATGCAACCTGGAGAACCAAGAGGCCTAAGAAAAAGATCTAGTTATTTTGAACAAACTGGAAGCAATTTATTATCATCGGCACAAATGTGTGTGTGCATTAATGTGTGTTACATTGAATATGTTTTCCTATACCCCTTCATCAAAAATTAGTGTTTTCATGTTTTGTTTTGTTTTTTCTGTGTGACTCAGGAGGTTGTGTGTTGAAGGGCCAAATACAGAAGTTGCTAGAAGACAGTTTTCAGGATTCAGGATTCAGAATCAAACATGTAGAAAGAAATAAAGTACTTGTGGCAGATAGTAGTTAAGAGGCAAGTACTCTTCAGAGGCGGGGGAAACAGGAGTCTAGTAGGAAAGATTTACTATGAGAGCCACAACTCTGTCCTAGGATTGTGGAGGTGTACTACACTTAAGAAAAGGGCTTTGATGAAGCATTTTTGGTTGGAGTCTATCATTTCTTAAATGAAGACACCAGAGAGATTAGATGACAGAACCTGCCTTCCTTCCTGCAGGAGTGAGTCCGTGCTGCTGCACATGCCCCAGCCTGTGGACGCAGCACTCAGTGCAGGGCCCATCACTGGACTGGTGGACAGGCTCAACTGCTTTCGAGGTGAGTGACAACCCACTGGGGGCCACCATGCTGTGTCTTCAATAATGGTTCCCTAAGGGCAAGCTTTCCCTCTGTGATGATCTTTCATTTAGGAGAGAACCTGACCAGGCATTTATAGTCCCGGCAGCACTATCATCATACAGACAAAATTAAATAAAGGTTGTTAATCTTAATGTGGTCCAGCCTGTAATAAATTACTAAGAAAAAGAAAACACAGCTGGGATCTTTGGGACTTGGTCATATTTTAATGATGTGAAGTCTAAATGATAAAATTTTTAAAATACTTGAGAAATTTTATATAGCTAAATGTAAAACCCAGCAAAAAGTATGAACAAAAACAATTACTTAGTTGGTGAGCCTTCATATAGAGCTCCATGATAGACCACAGCTAATCCATCAGTAAAAGAAGACTGTGCCCGAATCAGACAAAAGCAGGCAATGCTTAGAAGGAAACCATTTTTAAGAAGCCATGTTTAAATTTATCTTCATAATTAAGGAAAGATTATATTATCCCTGGCAAAGTGGTAACCTTTCATTTAGGTCTAAGAATGGCTCCCCACTGCCTCCCAGCCCCAGGAGAGAGGGGCACTGGAGGTGGTTTGTTTTGCTATGGACTTGGCTGCGATGCACAGGTTTCCAGTTGCTCTGCTGTCATAAAAAATAAACAAAGTAGGCACAACCTCCCCCCTCCCCTTTATAATTTCTGAATTTTAGGAACTCTCATCATTGTGTGGTTGGGTACATATCCTGGCAACCCTTGAACCCATTATTTTTCTAGTCAGAATTTCCCTTCTGATCCTGACCATTTTTAGTGAGACTCTAGGTAACCTTTCTTCTCACACAGAAATTTAAAAACAGGTTTTGATTGAATACTCTCCTCTTTCCCCAGTGGAGATTTCCTTCCATAATGAAATAACGAATCACAATATCAGGCTGTTTGATGATGTGAGAAGCTTCCTGTTTAGACCTGATCATGAAGATGGATCTCTGAATTCCGACAGATCTGACTATTCCGCTGCATGGGGAGCCCCGGGCTTCACCTCTGGGAAACACTACTGGGAGCTGGATGTTGATGACTCTTGGGACTGGGCTCTGGGAGTCTGTAAGGATTCTGGGATAAGCAATCCTGGCACAATACTTGAATCTGAGGACGTATTTCTCCTTTTATGTGTAAAGGAGGGTAATCATTACAGTCTCTTAACCACCTCCCCGATGTGTCCCCACTACGTAGAGAAACCTCTGGGTCGGGTTGGTGTGTTTCTTGATTTTGAGAGTAGAAGTGTGAGTTTTTTGAATGTTGCCAAGAGTTCCCTCATATGGAGGTACCCTGCTGGCTCTTTCAACTCCCCGGTCAGGCCATTTTTTTACACTAGACACAGATGAACAGGGATAAGCCAGGAACCTGCCTGTGTGTCTTGGGACTCTATACCAGGGAGCCCTTCTCAGTTAAAGCAAAGCAATATTTTACTGTCTTAAGTTTTTTCTACTTTATTGTAACTTCATTTTATTGCTATTAAATAAGAAATATTGTGAAATGAAAACATTTTGGTTCACTGTATTTAAATTATGATTATGTGTTATATTGTGGGTTCATTTTGTTTTATGAGTTTACCCAATGGAGTTCTGAAAACTTGTGGTGTGCTATTCTGTCTTAATGGTCTAACATAGGAACACAGTTTGCCTATCATGGACAGACTTGGTTTTCTACAGTGCACATGTCAGGCTGAGATGATCCCTTCCTGGTGATTTGTTAAATCCTACACGTCTATTCATCTTTAGGGGGAAGACTCTATTACACACAGATATCTCTATTGATTCATAGGACCAGAATAGACATTTCTTTACAGTCATATGTTTTATAAGGACAGAAATATGTTTGTTTCTATTACAATATGGTTTGAAAAGTTTCCTGCTACTGACAGAAGTGTTAATAATAAATGTATAAAACATTAAACAGTCTTCTGAAATAAAGGGGTCCCACTTGGAGTGGAAATACTGAGGACAATGTGGACTCTGAGATGACCAGCCTGGCAGAATCTCAAAATCTGGGTCCAGCTCCAGCAACATCAGTATCACCTGGAACTTGCAGGAAAAAGAAATTCTTGAGTCACACCCAAGACCTACTGGATCAAAAACTGTGACAAGGGGCCTACAATCTGCAGTTAACAAATCCCCCAGATGAATTTTATGAATGCTAACAGCTGAGAAACACTGATTTTAGCTGACTTACAAATGAAAAGTCTCCATATATTTCTTATACCGGAGAAGCAAAGTATCACTAGACTCCATTTGATTCAATAGAGATGATTATGGGTTTTTTAGTAAAAAATGTATAATAGAAAGATTAAGATCTTAAGTAGAATGTGATTCTAAGTACAATCATGGAAAATCAGTCATTTTGGTAATAGATTATTTTCATAAATGTGCTCACAGTATTGTTGTTGTTTTTGGGTTTTTTTTGAGTAATTTTATTACTACAATAGAGGAAAAAAATCTTCATTTGGAAAATGCAGACAATAGTCAGTAAATAATCCAGATGTAAGTAGGCAAAAAAATTAATGAGTTCTTCAAACTTGAAAGACTAGACAGAAATAAAAATTAATGGGTTCAATTCACTTTTTGGAATATTCAAAACATTGCAGTCAGATGTGCAGTTCTGCTCTTTCTGGACATTTAAATCATCAGGAATATAATATGAGAAAATTCCAAGGGTTCACTTCATTCATTTAACCTCATACCTAATATGGATGTCAACAGAATTAGAGTAGTGTTTTCTCAGGATTTAGCTATCAAATATATATTATGATATCCAGAGCAGATGTTATAGACTCTAAACTGCAACAATTAAGCCTTTGACCATTGGCCCAGCAATAAAGAAGAAAGACTCCAGAAATCAAGGGCAAGGCTCAGACTCAATGTATAATGACAAAGCAGGCAGGCATTGCAAATAAGTGTCAAAATGATATTTTTCCAAGTAAATATACTCTGATATTTACTCAATATGACCTATAAATATTAATTTCAATTGCATTAAAACTTCAGTGTTAAAAACAGATTCATTATTTTTTGAAGAGTGAATATTAGGAGGCAATGATGTTTCATGGTGGTCAGGTCTATGCAAAGCTACCCCTAGTCCGAGAAAGCTGAAAGACTTAAGAAAGAGGCTGGTGTATCCAGTTTCTTTAAAAGAAACATTTAATAAGCACTTACAAATAAAGCCATATCTGTCTGGGGCAACTGGGAGACGGGATGGTGGATGCCTGCATTATTACCCTCCAGAAACAGGGTTTATACACCCATCATAGGGAAGGGGTGATTCCGAGGGATTTGTAGGACAATTGAAGTGTGGTAACATCAACGTTTGACCTAAAGGCAGTACTTACATGAATTAGTTACTCTTTATAAGGAACAATAGAAAAATGAAAATCTTAGAGACCTTCCCTGAACAGGGGTTAAACAGAAATCAACAGGGATGATGAGCATCCAAGTTCAAATTGCTTTAGCTGCCACACATGATTTTTTTTTTTGGGGGGGGGGGGTTTAAAATGAGTTCTCACTGTGTTGTCTCCAGACTAACCTCAAACTTCTGGGCTGAAGAAATCCTCAATCCTCACCCTCTGGAGTAGCTGGAATTAAAGGCACATGCCAATGTGCTGGACTAAGAGACTGTCTTGTTAATTGTGTATTAGAAAATGGATTTTAATTTTTTAAAAAAGGTTAAAGTAGAGAGAGCGCCAATATGAACCTGGGAATCTCCAGGCAAGGCAAGTCATAATTGACCTTAGTGGCTGTTGTCCTGGAGCTTCTAGCTTTCCTGCCTCGGTCCCTCAACGATGACCCAGAGTGAGTTCACTTTCCACTCAGTACTCTCTGCCATGGAGGTATGACTGAGTGTGGCACTCATCCTGCACCCAATCTTCATAGAGGTCCACTCCTCACAGCAATACAAGGACTTACAGCCTGGTTGTCAGAAACTCAGAAAGGATCCCTTAACTCAACACCACTGAAACCTGGTTTATATAATTTATTTAACATAACTACTTAGTAAAGACCAATGTTGTAAATGTTTGCCTGAAGAGGAGGAAAAATGAGAAATAGCGATAGCAATGGAGGATTAAAAAACTTTTTGAAGTCCGGCTTGGTGGCTCAGCCTGTAATCCCGCGCCTTTGAGAGGCTGAGGTGAGTGGATTGCCTGAGCCTGTGGGTTCGAGACCCGCCTGGGCAGCGAGACCTCATCCCTACAATAAACTAAAAATCAGCTGGGTGTGGTAGCGCATGCCTGTAATTCCAGCCACTTGGAAGGCTGAAGCAGCGGAAGGATCGCCAGAGCCCAGCAGGCGAGGCTGTGGTGGCTGGGAGCGGCCACTGCACTCCAGTCTGGGTGATCAAGTGAGACTTCAACTCAAAAAAACCCCAAAAACCAAAACCAAAACAACAACAAAAACAACTCTTTGAAGTGATGGATGTGAACACTAACTTGATTTTGCTGATAGCTTTGCAGGTACATACCTATACCAAACGTATCAAACTGTATATTTTAAGAATGTGGAATTTATTTTATATCATGAATGCCTCAAAAACAATAATAATGAAGAGCATATTTTGTGCAGTGGGAGAACAGAAAATTATGTAAATAAAACTACAGAATTAATAGACCTTCAAATGTCAAAGGTGATGGAATGTTAGTGGAAACAGTTCCCAGGAAAACCTAGAAGCCTGATAATCCTGAGATCTGGTGGATGCCCCTGAAGGTGTTGGCTTCCAAGATTTCTCAGGATACACAAAGATAGAAGAGTTGGCCCATCCTTCCTATTGAAGCTCGAACTGCTGTGGAAAGAGCCACTACAGAGGTGTCTCTCTTGAAAGTCAACAGGCAATGCCCTCCAGTTCCACCCCTTCCAGCCCTCCTGGCTTCCTTAAATCTTTGCAAAACTCAACCAGGAGGACATTGGGCCTGAATGAGAGTAAAATACTATACCCCAAATAAGCTGGGGAAATTAACTACCATGTACTTGCAAAGGCTGTGTGAGTGTCCCCTAACGACTAGATTTTGAGGATGCTTAATCAAGGATACCACAAGGTAAAACGGAATGAAGGAGAGTTTACTGGCTTGGAGACACTTTCTCCAGATGCGCTATGAAATAGCCGGGCAAGGACATCAAGGGAAAAGGCACACTTGCTGATTGCCGGCCCCAATTGTCCTGAAAAAAATTAGTAATCTATACTAAGCATCATTGAAATGACTGATTTGCTGTGTCAGATGGTTCAGAATAGGATTCAAAGGAAAGTAGCATTATGCATAATGGACCAATATATTATGAGGCATGACCATAGTATACATCACTATGGGGTTATGTTTTCCAGGAATTACAAGGGGGCACGCTATTCACCAAGGTCGTTAGGAATGTGCTGCTGAGAGGGAAATGGCATCAGTAAGAAATCAGTGGAAGCTATCCTCTCCAGGCATGGGCTGGATGATAGAAGTGTTTCCGGAGCTTGGCCATCAATAGCAAGCAGGGTGATTTGGACTTTGGCATTTAACCTTCAGGTGCCAGCAGACTGCAATTTTTGTAATCACTAACAAATGTTAATCAGCAACCAAGAGGGCTTAACTCACATGGAAACAGGGAATTGTGGAGATGTTCAATGAAGCAAACAATATTCTTGCCGGGGGCCAGGGGGTGGGGTGATAGATGAAGAACCTATTTGCCTGCATATATAGCTCAAATTCACACAGAGGGTAAGTGTTCATTGATAACTCTATCCTGAGACATAATCATTACGTCATGTTAGAGTGGAAACATATTAGTGTCAGGTAAAAATCCCGATTCTTATTAAAAAGTCAGTGTATAGAGAGCCCTTTGGGTCTGTAGCCCTACCTAGTGGTCATTTTCATGACCACAGAATAGATACTATAAACATAAACATATCACTCACAGTCTAAAAAAGAATGCCACCTGCTCTGTGGGGTACCTCAGTTGGGATGCTGCCTTTCCATGTAGCTGTTCAGGCTTCCTCACAGCATGGTAGGTAGGTCCAGAAACAAACATCCCAAGAGAGTCAAGAGACAGTTATACTACCCTTATGCTACAGAGAATAGCCTCAGCTGTGTAGTCACAGCCTACACAGATTCAAGGGAATAGAACACTCTCAACAGCAGCAGTGTTGCAGTTACATTGTAGGAAGAGAATGTGAGATGGGATATATTGTTGTAGCTTCTCTTTTGCAGGGACTGTGGGAAGAAGAGAACCCACCATGCCTAATAAGCATAACTTAGGGATCTAGATCCAGAGTGAAAGTCCCATCAAAAGCAGGATCTAATGAGCTCCTCATGCATCTGTCATTCCAGTTTCCAGTCCCATCAAAAGCCCTCAAATGTGCCATGCAATTGAAAAGGTACACATTCTTTGGGGGTTTTCTTCAAAGTTTTAGGGTCATCTGGACAATCATTATGAAAAAAACACGGTAAAACTGTTGAGAAAGAAACA